CACAGCAGCTGTGGTGACAGCAGCTGGGTGTCAATAACCATTTACACTGACGCTAAACTCCGCTCCTGTCAAAACCTCGGGGACTAATTGTTTCTCAGGAAAGCTGACATTTTAGCAACTGCCTTTTAGTGTTTTTTTTTTTTTATTTCGTTTTGGCAGAACCTATGATTCAGTGACCCGGAGGCACCACGAGTGACTTAAATACGGTCCAGTTCAGGCTCCTGTTCCGCTCCCTTTGGAGGTAATTTGTTCATTGTTTGGATGCAATTTCAGATCAAATATGAAACATTTCAAGGATTCATAAACATACAGCTGCTTTCCGTCAGGGTCGTTTTTAAGCCGAACAATTGACGTGTGTCAGTGAAAGACATCAGTACTGTCCAAAGGGACCCAATCAATTTGACTTACATATAATCATACATTTCCACTTGTTGTGTTTCTCCTCTCTAATGATAAACCTTTCCAAGCTAACTATATCAGTGTTTTAATGATAGTTGTTTGGATCAAAACTGCAATTCTATGACATAAACGATTCAATTTCAATTAATTTGCTTAAAATGTTCTCATTTCAGTTTTCCTCTCTAGTGTTCTCCATAAATAATGCAACAAACCCTAATCTATTTAATTTCGGTAATACACTATTAAATGTTTTTTTAAAACTCAAATAAATACATCACTATGCTAAAATCTTCAAACTGGATGATGCTCGTTGTACCTGAAAAAATGACAGTTTGTTTTGCATCTTGGGCTTTGGTTTAAGATAAACTGAGCATGGAGTAATTCTTTTCAATACTCAAGCACACAATTTACTCAATGTATCAAATCATTTCACCAAATTTCCCCAACATTTTCTTTTGCTAATTCTCCATGGACAGAATAATTAATCAACCAGAGTCACAGTAAGGAAACTACCTAATGTGAAATGTTCTAATATGCTACAAAACAGATATTTTTGGTCGGGGTAATGCTTTGATGAGTAATATAAGGCAGTATTATACAAATACTGTGGTAATAATAGATTAGTCAGTACATTGGGGTAACATCAGTCCAGTTTTTCATTTAGGAGGTAAAACATTTACTTAAAAGTAACAATGGCAAATGACAAATGACTGAATCACCATTGAAAGATTACTGTAATTTGAAATTATAGCATACTTCAATTCGGTTTTATTTGTAATGTGAACCATCTGTGAACTCAGAACTTTATTGTCCTGAAGGAGAGACAGGATATAAGTGGATTTTGGTGAAACTGCAACCATTATTTTTAAGTTTATGTTTTATTACAAACAGAAAGAGCAACTCCTGAAAATCTAAAAAGGTAAGACAAAAAATGGAACTGAACAGAAAACAAAAACAAATGAAGAAATGGGGTTTCCTGATTATAACATCTCTTCTTTCCAAGTCTCTATCAGTAAATTACTTGGTTGGTAATCATCATATTGTTGTATTTTGTCTCACAGAAAGACATCAGTATGGTTATCTATTATGAGTAATATACTCCCTCAACTTAAATGTCCACAGGCAGAGGAGAATGAGCCATCTCACCCAGAGTGGAAATAAAAAAATAACTTGCTGTTGCTCTAAATAAAAAATAAAAAAATCTCAGTTAGTGCTGAGTATAGATAAAGACATGGAGGTTGGTTCACTTTAATATTAATTTGGATGTTATAAATGACAGTCTAAACAAATTCTACTGGATTTTGTTCAAATATATAAATGGACCTACACTCACCAAAACATATGATGATTATGATGTTAGGGGGAATAATTAAAAGCATTTCCTAATTTAAAAAAATATATTTTTTAGAGCCTTTGAGAAACTAAAAATGCTAATCTTCTATTGATTATAATGAGCACAGATTGGTTTTCTGATTAAAAGGAGTGAAGGTGTTCACAATCCCTACAGCTGGATTTCTTCACAGCAACTGCTGATTTTTTTTTTACCAAACTTATAAGATAATAATATAATAGATACTATCATATAATGATAATATATAAGTAAATATTTCAATTCCAAGACTAAAAATAGAAGATGATGTTTTTTACTCACAGATTAATGTATAAATAGTTTCGCCTGTTCAGAACAGACTAGAGAAATCTCTGGTCTCAAGATTGTTGAATGAGCAGCTTTGAAAACAACTATCTCAACCCTTAAACTTCATAAAATATGAGATTAAAAGGAAATATGGGAAAAAGAAAGCAGGACAAGTCAACATAAGCATCAAAGAATAGCTAGTAAAACACGGAATATGGAATACATTGAAAAGGTAAAATTGATGAAGGAAGAGGCTATAAAGGAGAAAAAGTCGGTAGGTAGGAGTGCATGCGGGTGTGTGTTTGTGTACATGCATTTGTGTGTGTGTGTGTATGCAATAAATCATCCTGCAACATTAACCGGTGGACCCCTTCAGGCAAAGCTGTATTGACAGGTGGTGTCAACAGGGGGCCTAATCTTGTTTGGATTTTTTTAGCCTGGGGCATTTTTACCTGTGAGTGTGTGAACACAAGTTTGTGTGTTTGCTCTCATTTTTCTATGTACACACATCAGTCAAAAAACAAGAGCATCGCATTAAATAGTTTAAAGGGCTGTTAGGATCATAAAACTATGTTTGAGGGTCGAAACTTTGGTTTAACAATTTGATAAGGTAAACTTAGACATTAAACTGTTAAGGTTTGGGAAAGAAACGAGGGAATGCATTCAGTCAACCATGTGGCTGTTAAGCATTGAGAAACCTCCACGACCGCATGGATTACCGACTGACGGACCCCGCTATGTCTGACCAAACCAAATGACTGTGTTCCTGAGAGGGTGACCAGCAGACTGGACTGGAAATCCAACAATTGCTTCTTTTTAAGGAAGCTGAGCTCCTTCTGCTCCTGCACAAAAGCTGTACATACATATACAGCGCCCTCCACAATTATTGGCACCCCTGTTTATGATGTGGTTGAGGACTTCTAAAAATTCTCTTTTAAAAAAAAAACAACATAGAACCCAAATGAAAAAAAAGAGTAAAATCCAACCTTTTATTTAAGTACATTGCTTTGGTGGTAAAAATAAAATCACACGTTTAGAAAATAAGAAATGTG